CAGGCTCGGTCGGCTTCCATGTCTCATTCGGGATATCATTGTGTTCGGTTGTTTCCCCCTAGACGGCCTTGCCACGCTCTTCATCAGCCTTCTCTCCTGCTTTGGTGTCCTTCCCCTTAGCAATCCAGGTTGAGCACTCAGCCCGGACAGTTGCCAATTCCGCCTCGTGACGCTACTGCATTTCTTCCATTTTTTGTTGTAACATCTTGATCATCTCGGTCGGGTCCTCAACGCTCATATTCCTCGTGGTCACTGTTGGCTCTTCTAAGTCACTCTGTCCCACGGTGGGTGCCAAAATGTTCCGGGATGGGTTTAAGTCACTTCTAATACCTACGCAATTTATGCTCTGGGATTAATTGGTCTTCAATCCAAGCCTTTGTCCTCGCCTGGCCGTCCGGAGGTGTACCTTTTAAAGGTTTTCTGATGCCAAAGTCAGCAAACAGTCCGTTCGGCAGTTCAATGTAACAATAATAAATGCACAGTAAATGTGATAACCTACCTCTTACCTTTGACTTGTATTTATAGTTTTTGGCGCAGACCTAGAATTAACGATACCTTAATCCCGGCCCAATCATGATCCACTATCCTTAAAGATGGTTTGCCCTAATCTTTGAAAGTTATTTGTCATCGGTCGGTCGTCCCTGACGGTCGTTAGGAGACCCTCTTTTGTTGGTCGTCCGATAATCCAGTACAGTAGTCTTCTTATTTGTAAATATTAAATTCTATTGGTATAATAGTTAAGTTTAGAATATTATGTATACGAATAACTACTAAACTTGAATGTGAAATGTCAATTTTGGAAACTTGTTGAAAAACTAAGTTTGAGTATTATGAAAATTATGTAAAACTTTAAAAACGAAGAACTTTATTTGTCATTGTACCGTCCGGTCCTCCCGACTCATAAACCGAACGGTTTCCCCCTTGCCGCCCACCCAGGTCACCATCATGACCGAGCGTCCAAGCTAAACACTGTCCGAGCATACATAGACCGAGCGCTCCTCCAAGGTCCCCATCCAGGTCGGCCATTAAGACCGAGCGTCCAAGCTAAACGTTGTCCGAGCATACATAGACCAAGCACTCCTCCAATGTCGCCCATCCAGGTCGGCCATCAAGACCGACCGTCCAAGCTAACGCTGTCCGACCACACATAGACCGAGCGGTCCTCCAAGGTCGCCCATCCAAGTCGACCATCGAGATCGAGCGTCCAATGTGACCGATCAGCAGAACCGAGTGGCCGCCCACCCAGGTTGACATCCCTGGCCGACCACCCTTCTGACCGGCCGTCCAGCCGTCCAAAACCAAACCCTCACTAGGTCGACTACACGGTTAAACACTAATGACTCTATTAAAGCCCTTAATGAAGATTAAGGTGATGATTGGGGTCGTTATCAGGCCCACGAAAGTAAAAGCCCATTACAATCAGTATAAATAAAGGTTCCAGGTATGCTTTCTGCACAGATTACTTACGATAAGCAAACCTGCGATAATTCCGTTCCCGAATCCAATTTGGGATAGATCTGATAATCTTCTTTCTGCTATTTCTAACCATCACCAACTGTGTGCAATTCTTCAAGACGGAAGGGATTTTTAACCTGTTAAATTATTGCTTTCTCAATAAAAAACTTGAAGTTCAAGGAGTGATCCCATTGAAAAAGGAATCTCTCCTGAAAACTTGTCTGACTCATATTAAGTAAGACAATGACTTCAAATGGGTCCAACAGTCGGAATTTGTCCAGAAAACTTATTATTTGAAAGGTCTAATGGTATAAGATTCAGCTACACCACCATTAGAACATAAAAATGAAAAAGAATTTGTGAAATTTATTGTTTGATAGATCAAGAGATATTGAGCCTCGTAAAAATGGCGGAACATGACCTTTCAAATTGATTTGATGCAAGACTAAAGATAATACATTGATTCTCAATTGGCAAATTTTGGGAACGTACCTTGTAAATTATTAGAAAATATCAATTCTCATCAATTTGACAATCCAAATTTGGTCGCAAAAACCATTCTGGAACCCGTACCTGATATCCACTATTTTGAAATGTCAGGGATTGAAATCATTTTGTTTCTCGTCGTCCATTTGGGAAACTATGAACCAAGCTTGACAAGACGCTCATTCAACTAATTTCCAATTGAATTGAAGCCCAATTTTGACTAACCTCTAACATCAATGAGTTTCTCTGACACATATCAGCTGCTTAACTTTTTTTGTCATATTATAAAAATGAGGAGTCAGTTTAGCACACCTTTCAAGAGTTTTGACATCAAAGGATAATACATCAATTCCTGTTGGAAATCGAAGATCTTCAGAAATTGTCCCATTTAGCTTGTTATTATCAAGGTACAATGCTTTTAATGATGGGAACATTGTGGCGAGGTTGCTAGGCAAAGTACCACTAATTAGATTCATACTCAAATATAAATGTTGCAATGAGTATCTAGAACATCCAGACAAATGATTAAATATCACTGTTAGATCTTCACTCAACTTGTTGAAAGATAAATCCAATAACTCCAATGTACATGTGCTTCCAAATGATTTTGGAACACCACCTTCTAAAGAGTTAGACCTAACTAACAAACACTCCAAATGAGATGGCAATCTAGTGCCTTCAGGTATCTTCCCACTCAATTGATTGTCAGAAAGATACAACAATTTTAAATTTGAAAATGCTGAAAGGTCAGGTATGGAGCCTCTGATTTGATTGTTTTCCAAATTCAACTCTTGTAATGAGTATCTAGAACATCCAGACAAATGATTAAATATCACTGTGAGATCTTCACTCAACTTGTTGAAAGATAAATGCAATAACTCCAAAGTACATGTGCTCCCAAATGATTTTGGAACACCACCTTCTAAAGAGTTAGACACAATTAACAACTGCTCCAAATGAGATGGCAATCTAGTGCCTTCAGGTATCTTCCCACTCAATTGATTGTCAGAAATATCCAATATCTGTAAAGATGAGAACACTGAAAGGTCAGGTATGGAGCCTCTGATATGATTGTTTGCCAAACTCAAATCATGTAGTGAGTATCTAACACAACCACTGGACAAATTTTGAAGAATTGACGAAAGGTCTTCGGCCATATCGTTTGCAGACATGTCTAAAGAAAGTAGGTTGCATATGTTGATGAATGATTTCAAATCTTCACCCTTGAACACATTATAGGAGAGGTAAAGGTGCTCAAGCGAATTCATGGCCAAGCCAAAATGATTTGATGTGGAACCCGTCAAGAGGTTACCATTAAGGTCAAGCTCAACAAGGTTGGAGGTGGTGTTTGACACCCACTGGAATACCATTGGTTGTGTGAATGAGTTACTAGAAAGATCAAGGACAGAAAGGGAAGTAGAAAAATTGAAGTTGGAAGGGTTGAATGAAAGGAGGAAATGATCGGAAAGGCCACATTCAATTAAACTCAGTTCTTTTAGTTTTGGTAGCTTGGCAATGGTTCGAAGGCAGCTAGGAGAACTGTTAAAATTAGATATGGAAGTGAAGGAAAGATGGGTTAAAGAATTAAGATTAGATAACCATTGATCAGTGGTGACAATTTTGAGAGCACTATGATATCCTCCTCCAAGATAGAGTTTATGCAAATTTGAAAGGTTTCCTAGTTGGGAAGGAATGAATCCTTCAAAAGAATTGTACCTGAGATCAAGATACTCCAACCGAGAGAGATTTCCAAGTTCACGAGGGATTGAACCATCCAAATGATTATGAGCAAGATTCAAATATTTCAAATGAGAAAGAGAACTTATCTGAGTTGGAATTTGTCCGCTAAAATAAAATGAAGAGAGATCAAGATATCTCAAGTTGGTAAGAGAGCCAAGAAACTCTGGAATATTAGTGTCTCGAAAATCATTGAAACTGAGATTCAAATACTGTAAGTGTCGAAACTCCATTAACGACTTGTGGATCTCTCCGCTGATGTAATAATACCGAGAGACTTCATTATATTGGCCAAGAGAAAAAGATTCATAATGAACTTCTCCGTGAAGGTCCAGGCTTATAATATGAGCGGTGAGGTTGGTGCAGCGAATCCCCTCCCATTGGCAACAGTCGGGAGTGGTCCAATAGGAGAGTATGCCGTTGTGATCAACAGTGGCAGCCTTGAATTGAAGGAGTGCTTCCCTCTCCTTTGGAATGCATCGGATGTGGTGTTGTCCATAAGCAGCCTGCAACACCACACTCAGCACAAACATAAACATAATCACTTTGAGAATATTCATGATGATGAAATAGAGAGAGTGAATAGTATAGAATTAGATTGATATGTGTTCTGAATTTATCACTCTCAATACCTACATTTATACTCACACCAACTCCTTCATTACTTTATTCTAAGTCGTCGTCGTGGTGTTTGCCTGTTTTCCATTTTTTTTATTCATCATATCAACTAATTTTTGTGGTCCATAAATAACTTTATTATGCATTTCATTAATGCATGTAAGATTTTAATAATATCAATTGACTTCGAAGAAGACTTGTGTATTTTCATTTTAAACGACAATATTATTTGAAATAAATAAATAAACATCAAACTCGTCCTTACAAATAATTAATGATTTGGAAATTAATATTTGAAATCAAAATTAAGAAAGTGCTCTGAAAATGCACTTCAAAATGAAATTGTGTCGAACAAATTGTACTATTTGCAATATATTTTTATTTGTGGGTATCAAGATGGTTCATTTTCCTAACGACATAGAAAGACTCTATATTATTACAAATTAATAGTTTTACACGAATAATAAAATAATGTTATTTATTCTTAGAGACAAAATATTGTATGAAAATAGATACAATTAGAAATTCGTATATTGTCTGCGATTGTTTTTATAAAATTCATAAAATAGATATTTTTCTTTAGGATATTTTAAAAAAATTGTACGTCCAGCTAAATACTAAAAAAATATTTTAATAGTGAAAGTTTATGTCACCATTTCTATGTTGTTCCTATAATATCGTCATCTCATATTACTAGCAAAGGACTTTGTTATAGTAAATTAATTTGGGGTAATGGGACAAAATGTAAAAAATATTGCCAAATTAAAAAGGAAATTTCAAAAAATATAGTCATTATTGGAAAATTAGACATTGGTCTTTATTCAAATAAAATGACAAGGGTGGGAAACATCAATATTGTCACTTTCCTCATTATCAATGGTGGGAAATTTTTTGGGACAATAATTCTATTCTAATCAATTGACTTATCCGAAGACTTGTGAAAACAAAGGTAACTAACATGAAATTGGAATTTTTAGATTAAACCACAATTTTATATAATAAATAATCGATGAAATGTTGCCTTGAAAAATAGTGAAAGAATTATAAGTCAATATTCTAAAGATAATAAAATTAAAAAAGTACTCTGAAAATCCATGTCGCAACGCAATTGTTTTTTAACAAGTTGTAATATTTGTAATAGCTTCTTTTATGAATAGCAAGATGGTTAATTTGACATAGAAAGAGTTCAAATTAACACAGTCCAATAGTTTACATATGAGTAACAAAATAACGTTATTTATTTCTATGTAGAGCTAAAACATTATATTAAATAAATGTCATTAGAAAATTTTATAGTTTGTGTGTTTTTTTTATAAAAATTTGTGAAATTATTCTTTTTAATTTTGTTTTATAAATTTTTTAAGTTCTACGAAAAAAATTATTTAAATAATAAAAGTCCAGATACGTAATAAGTTCGCTATGGTAAATTGTCTTAGTTACAAATTATAAAGAAATATTGACAAATAAAAATGGAAACTTCCTTTTTTTCTAAGACAACAAAATATAAATTAATTAATATTTAAGACAACAACAACAATTCTTTGTTACTTTTCCAAATATGAAAATTTGTAAACCTTGTGAATTTGTACTGTAACAATGATTTTAAAAGTAATATTTCTAGACATTTTCTATTTTATTTTCATCATTTGTTTTGCATGCAAAATTGCTAATTAAACACGAGATGGTATATTTTTAATTTTAACTATTTTTACATTATATTTGAATATTTTAGTTTGTAAGTGTTCTATTTCCCGTTCAAATCAGTGTTTTTTCTTTTTTGTCGTCATATAAATTTGAGGGTCATTATACATTAATACTATTCATTGTTTGTCATATCATACTTATGTGATGGGTTTACTTCACAATTTTCCAAGTCCTCACCCTAAATGTCACTCCAACTCCTATATAATATTTAATTAGTTAAATACATGTTTATATATTATAATTAAAACTGGTAAACAGCAAAATTCGGATAACACTTATTGTGGATTATGGTTTTCTTTTTTAAAATTCAAATATCTATTCAATTTACATAAATTAATAACTTAATTTACGATGCATAAAATAAACTACAAATTATATGGCATCTACAATAAAATTGTTATCAAATGAAATGTTATCGGTTTTATAGTATGAACACAAATTTGGTATCTGTAGAATAAATCAAATCGTGAGAAAAGTTTTAGGGAAATAATTTTATTCCAATCTATGGACTTATTTGAAGACTTTTGAAAAGAAAGGTAACTTACACGAGGAATTTTTAGATTAAAAGACAATTTTATATAAAAAAAATAATCCATCAAATATTTCCTTAAAAATAGTGGCGAAATTATAAATATAGATAGAAAGGTCTGAGATGAAATTCAAGACAAATATATCCAGCTTCCGGTGGAATTGAGTCACCTTATACCTAGGTAAAATGAATTCAGTCTGACCCATGTTTGTTCAAGTTAGTTTTACTAATGTTAAGGTAGAATGACCCAGACCCGAGTCAGAACATCAAATTGTAGTTGTTAAACAACTTCTTCTATCTTAAGATTCAAATCTCTCAGCTATATATGAGTTGCATCATATTTTAGGAAAAGAAGAAAAGAGAGGCTGAAGGCCAAAACTCTAAAGATTATTGAAACAATAAAGATAAGGAAGACCAGAAAATTACCCTTAGGTCTTTAAATATATCAATAAAGACAAGTGGCTGCAAGTTTTTCGTGAGAAGGGTTTATACGTGTGTTAATGAAATGGCTTTGGCATAGGAATTAATGTTTTACACAACACTTCTTACGTTTGTTGTATTATATATAAAATAATAAATTTCAGATATTAAAGTTTTTAAATTGATTGTACAATTTTACTGATAATGTAGTTTGGTTCAATTATTTATGTTAATTATCTTGCTCAATCTTTCAAACATTTCAAATCACCATCAAAACATACACTCCAAAATAGGTGAAAAATAGTAACAAAATTTGATTTTACAGTTTTGGGATTTGCGTGTTAGGGTTTGTGAGGAAGTGAAGAGTTTTCAAATAAAATAAAAAATAAAAAACTATTTTCTATACTGATTATAATTAAAATTAAAATAGAATGTTTTTTTTATTTATTACAAATATTTCATTGTGTCCACTTTCTATATCGATTAAAAGTATTATAAAAATTTCTTATTTGTTACTAAAATGTCATGACGTCCACGAGTGTTATAACTAGAATCAACATGTAAAGTTTTATTATTTATTATAAAAATGTCATTTCATTCATATTTTATATTTGTTATAAATACAATTGGTATAAAAGTGTTACCATATATTTATAATTATGTCATCATGCTATTTTTTATTTCTGATGGATTATAATTGGTATAAAAGTTTAAATATCTACGTTGTTATCATGTTAAGAGGTGAATTTCTATTTAGTATCTGGTTTTAAAAATGCATCTATTGAAACCCAAAGTTGTAGAAATTGTATAAATAAAGTATCATTCCTTAAATTAACTTAAACGAGTTAACTCCATAGTAAAATTTGACTTTTTTTTCTTCTCTCTCCTCTGTTCTTTCTACTTAGTTCAGTTTTTTCTCTTGATTCTCATAAATGAGCATTGCCCTAACAAGATCCTGCTTACATCCTTTGCACCAACCTCACTCACTAAATCTTTTCTTCACTACTTCAAGGTTAGCGGCCTCCCCAGTCCTCACCGCCCCGCTCTTCCCGTCGGCCTGTATACTACGTCCAAAGCCCTTCCCGTGAGTCCGCCTCCACCCGCAAGGGTCCATGGAGGCTCTGGAAGGACCACTTCCACGCCATCGAGGAAGAGGGTCTCCTCTACGCCCACGATAATGCCCAACACAGCTTCCTTCGTCGCTGCTATTTCCCGGCATTCATCTTCGCCTTCCTCCTTCTCTTCTCCTTTTTCTCTCTCATTCTCTGGGTCGCAAGTCGTCCCCCACCACAGATATTGCCATTGTTGCTGCAATCTTTGAGGGTCTGAACTTTATGAAGTCAATTCCTGCATTGGATTCCCATTCCTCAAATTATCATCTCTACTTCCTTACTAGCATTTATTTATTATTGCTGCAGAGAGTTAGGATGGAGTACAGACAAGTATAGTACTCAGTATAAGCTCGAAGGATTGCAAAATTGAAGCTCCAATTGTTGGGGAAAGAAGGAAAACCAAGGGTTTGCACCTAGCGTCACAGCCGAACGGTATGAGTGCGTATGTGACTGGAGAACGAA